ACCCCGAGTGAGGCGAGGCCCGCAGCGGCCCCTCGGGAGCCGGGCGGGGGCGGGGGGGGAATGGCCGACAAACTAACTTTGGGGGCTGGTAGTCGCCTTTGAACCCTGCCTGGTCCCCAGTGGCTGGAGGGAAATAACGCTGTCATCTCAGGGAGGGGGGGAAGGTGGAGGGAAAAAGGGTCGACAGGCTGAGTATTTAATCACCCCCCCCGCGAAGACGGACGGTTCTTGCTTAGGGGGGGGAGAGGTACAGCAGCGTCGAAGCGCTGTTGAGTAGGTGCAGAGGATTCATGAAGTGAAAACCAAAGAGGTTCGACTGAAAAATAACATTTGCGCTTATAACGTTTGAGGCTGTGCAGCTGTTAGAGCTAAGTAGCACCGGTTACCCCGTTTCTTTCAAGCGTGGCTGCCTTTGTGGAAGGGGTGTTTCAGCAGGGCAAGCACTGGTGGAGGCGTTGGCTTAACGGTGAAGGAGCTGAGTGTCCTCTATCTGACAAGCTTGCAAGCTAAGCGAAGGGCGTAACAGAGTAGGAAAGTAAACATACATTGGTGCTTTAAAATTAAATATTGCCATTAGAATTATTATCTTGCCTGCACTGCGAGCAGAGGCGTTGCTGGTTTGCTTGGAGGCAGCTGAGCTAGCTGAAAGCTAACTGGCTTCGTTGCCAAAAAACAGTTTATGGTGGCTGCATAGTACTGTCCGGCCACCTGATTGATTAGTCGCCATCCCAGGCCCGCAGTAACCTCTGTACTGTTGGGTTTACGTGGCTGTTGAGTCCGAGAATGGTGAGCTAAAAACAGTGTTTCTCAACCCTGAGAGGAGCACAGTGCAGGTAGCTAAATATTGTTTTCTGTTGAATAAAAGTATGATAAGCATTTGTCAACAGAAGGAATTTTGTAGCATTTAAGAAAAATTTGAAGAATAAATTTCACAGCTAGCCTCAAAATCTGTTTTGGTAAAATTTCTACCTCCAACTAAGTTGGCAGTTTGTTTCAGTTGCTGAGCAGTCATTGTTATTCCAAGATCAGGAAGGCTATGTAGGAAGACCCACAGGAACACTGCTTTGAACAGCATTTTAGTTTAGATTGAAGGAAAGCTCTTTTCCCAGCATGTCTCTTAATATGTGATTTATCATGAAACAATCATGAAAATGAGGGGAAATAAATTATTTATATTGCTTTAGAGAGTGTGAGTGCCACGTGGATGATCAAAACAAGTTTGAGTGCTGATACGTATTTATATTCAAACGTATGGCGTCAGTATAAAGGTGATGGCAAAAATACAGCTGTTTTATCTAGCCATTGAATTGTGCTGCATTATAAGTATCATGGTCCTGTAGAAGGGGTGCTGAGATTCGATTTATAGAGATCTCTTGCCCTACATTAGCAACTACTACTGATGTGAATTGCAAGTTTTATTCCCTTGCCTTTTACCACCCCAAGGAAGTCCTCTGCTGCTCTGTGGTTTTGGGTCTGAGCCTCTTCTGAACGTTTTAACTATGACCTAATCTTAGCTGACCTGACTGCCCTTCTTTGTTTTATTTCTTCACCTTTCTGACTTGTGCAGCGGTGGCAGCTCCTGAATAAATTCTGTTCACTTCCTCTTTCCATTTTCCTTTTTTTGTGTCTCGTTTACACCAGAGAACAGATTCTGATGATGAGTAAGGGGATATTGAGAGCAGGAGCAGGTTTTGGCAAAGTTGCCCTTAAGCGAAAATAATAAGTTTCTCTACCAGACTTTGGCTTTCACTACAGATTATTTTATTTCCCTTCTGAAGCAGGCTGACTGTGGGGAAGGCAGTGAGTGCTGTGTTGCAAGGATAACGGTGGTGGAAGCAAATGTTCTCAGGCTCTTCTTGGAGAGGGTGCAATTGGTGGCATGACCTTCAGTTGAAAGAAGCCATCCTCTTACTGAGAGCCTTCTTTGGACCTACGTAGTAACATCCCAGGCTAAGCTTTGTTACTCATGGGGCATGCTGTATAATATATGTAATGCTGCTATTGGGTTTACACAATCGAAGTAGGCGGGATTTGAGAAGGCTGAACCTCTAACTGGTCCTTGAGAGGTTATCGTGTTCTTGCTAGCGTTATTCCTTGCATTCTGGCAGACACTCAGAGCCAGATGCATCAAAAGCTTGCTCTGTTTCCTTGGTAACTTCAAAACTTAAATGGCAGCAAATTCAAAAGATTGGGGAAGGGGTGAAGACATGCACATTTATCCTGTGAATCTCAGGTATCTTTCTCGCAAAATCAGCTAAGTTTGCAGTTTTGGAACACTGTGGGCCTGCATAAGCGAGTCATTGCCACGTGTGGCTTTTGGGGGAAACCTGCAGCTTCGGGGGGTTGAGGGTGGGATCTAGGGTTTGCCAAGAAGTAGCCCAACTGACTGGTGTCTTCTGTAGCATTCAGGTGACACTGGGCACTCCAGGCTCTCTCCCCAGCTTCTCTTGTGTGGGAATACCTCACTGCAGAACCAAATATTTTGTGCATTGAAGTTCCATTAACAGATGGTAATAAACATTACCAAAATAACTGATTGTTAATTAAAAGGAAAGAAGAGCTAAGGGAAGAGGAGTTAGGAATGCTCCATTCCTATTTAGGGAGTAAAACAAAATGACTCTTGTAAACAGTCTGTAGGCACTTGTTCACATCTGGATGTTTCTGTTGTCCATCATACTGCCAGTAATTTTTACAGCTAATAGTTTTTACATCCTACAGTCATGGTCAGGTCAGGTTTAATGACCACATGAATCTCGCTCTTACAATTTCAAAATTGAAAGCAGAGATTTTTTTTTAATTATTTAAATTTTAAATTATTATTGCTCATGATTCTAAGGAATATTGCTTCCTTAACAGTAGTCATTTAACAGTGCTCAGAATTCAAGTTATGGTTTATGTATCGTATGTGGTTATATGCTACAGTTGAAAGAAACTTGATATGCACCAGAGAAATCTGTAAGCACATTTCAAATACCCTGATATCTGTCTGGTAACAGATGAGAGCCAAGAGTGGTCTGAACGTTCGTGTTGCCATTACCATAACTGCTTGACTGTACGTGCATCATAATGAGCCTTAATTTCCCTTTAATTTGTGTATTGCTGATTCATTAAGTAAATTACATATCTTCGCCCACTTTCTTTTAATTTAGTTCTCTTTCCAATGTAATTTGTCTGACCGTTTGCATATATTTTCAGAATTGATTTATTTTTTTTCTATGAATGTGTACACTCTTCATTTTCCTTTTCAAGTAGGTTAGAGGGTTGAAAAGTTAGTTATGGATTACATAATATTGTGTGGGCTCTCAACACTGTAAGAAAGCTTAATTGCTGAAACACAAAATACAGAAATTCTTTGCATTTGTGTGTATTTACTTTTTGAACAGAATTTAAGTCCTGCACTGGAAATATCCACATTTCCCACTTATCAGATAATCCGAAGTATGACATATATTAAGAGGTACTCTGTTAAACAAAAATTACTAACAAAAGGTTCTGTTACTAACTGTGTCTAGTAAGACAAAAAAGCTCCACAAATACTATTTCTAAAATGAGGACCAGACCTAACTTTTTTCAAATGAAGTCAGAGTATTTTGTCTGACTTCAGCAGAACTACTTTCTGAGCAAGTGTTGCAGGATCAAGCCTTTTAAAACATCTTGGCCATGGGTTCTGAAACCCTTGGCCAGCAGAAATCCACAGAAATTCTGCTGCTGAACTCTGGAGCAAATATCCAACTGGAAATAATTTGGATAATTATTGGAATAACATGTAAGTGACACCCTGATTAGCATTTAGTATTTAAAATTTTTAAAAAAGATTATTTTATTCTTTTTGTAAGGAAAGGCTACCTTGTAAGGAACAATGAGATATTCTTTATTTGAAAAGAAGAAAGAAAGAAAAAAAAAGTTGTTTTTGTTTGTGTTTTTGTTTGTTTTTTTCAACTGCTTGAAAAAAGATTTCCACTTCATGATAAAGAGAGACTTGAGAAATGGCTGCGGAATATGAAACGAGATGCATGGACTCCAAGTAAGCACCAGCTTCTATGCAGTGATCATTTTACCCCCGATTCCCTTGATGTGCGATGGGGTATACGATACTTGAAGCATACTGCTGTACCAACAATTTTCTCTTCCCCAGATGATGAGGTAATGTATTCCTATCTTTTTTATTGTACAGAGCTAACCAACTATTTATGTAATACAGATGTTGTAATTACCTGTAATATATTCATATTTTATTTTAAAAATAGAATTCCCATCCATCAAAATATATTATCAACAGGACTGACACAAAACAAGTATGTGATTCCATAGTGTAAAGGAAGAACAACTTGCCATACTTTGACTGGAGGTTCAAGATCTTTTTTAACTGGAAAATACAGAAGCATTTCCTACAGGAAATTTTCCATGCGAAAATAAATTTTCTGTGAGAATATTATGATTCTCAATATTTGTTCCTGTGCAATTACTCTTAATTAATATTTTAATGTTCTTTTAAGGCCTTTTATTAACTGTACATAAATACTGGCTTTGGAATGTATTAGTTTAAAACTACACATTTCTCTTTCCTGTCCCTAACCTCTCCAATACCTAAGAACTCAGGAGTGTAGGCTGCTGAAGATATCCCACAAAGACTATTCCATCTTGCCTTTCACCGAGTTGTACTATTGGTTACATAAAAATACTGTGCTACGCAGGCACCTAATCTTGATCAAAGCTATGCTAATTCTCTTCTGGCACATAACTATCTTCCTCTGGATCATCATGTTGGAGGTGGGAGAAATGGAAGGACTGGAATTAAGGCTGAATTGCTGAAACCAAAATGTGTGACTAATTAATTTTACAAAAGTTTCTTTTTAGTCATTAAGTTCTCTGTCTTCTCGGATAGCTGCAAGTGTTGTCCAGACTGCTTGTGACTCTGTAGAGTGAAAAGCAATCTTGATAAATCTCTCAAATATAAAAATAAAATATCTTGCAATTTATGGCAGTAGTAACTTAGCAATAAATATCTTTGCTTCCTACTCCACCACCCCGCTTCAATATATCCCTCACTTTCCTGTGCTGTTGCTGTAACAGGGAGCCCTAGCTTTGGAACTGGGCTTTGCTGCCCTGTGCTTCTGTGCAATTACAGATAAACTACGTGATTTCCCCCTAAAGAAAAATTGGCTTTTCCCCACCTCTTCATTCTCTCTTGTTTTGCGTGTGACCATAGACCAGTCATAGTATACTTACAAAGATGGACAGTGGAGTTATGCAGGTAACAAACTTTTTATGCAGTGGTGTTGCCAAGAGCATACCAATGGCTTCTCTAAATTATTTTTGCGTCAGCAATATATATCTGGGAAATCCCAGGTAGATTTATCCAGTTTGGAAAAAGAATATTCTGTGCTTCCTTTCAATGTATCCATCACTTCCCTGCTATTGAAAGAAAAGAGATGCCAGTTCTTCACATCCATGATACTGTGAACTTGCTTTCCTGGGGTCTCACTTCTCTCTCTGGCTGCACTTTTCTTGACATCAAGACATATCCTGTCAGTGACCACCTCGGCAAATCAGCAATATCCTTTGACTTGGCCACTGGTTCTGTAGTTGCCCCAAACCCAAATTTTCTACATAGACTGAATATTCACAAAGACATGGGAAAGAGCTCTCCTAATTCTGAGGGAGAATCCCTTGTTAGTGTGCTCCTGACTTAATGTAGAGGAACAAGAAGCTAAGGTCCCCAGCTGCCTTTCAGCACTCCTCTATAAACCCTTGATCTGGTAAACTGAAAGCGAGGAGTTGCAATGTTTGTGTATTGTTCGCCACCACCTTGCTTTACGTATTACGGAGCAAGTGAAGGATGTCTTCCTAGAAATGCTTAATGACTCTTCAGGAAACATTTCATATTATTTCTTCCTCCAAATAAAGAATGTTTGTGTCTCAAGAGCAGTGTTAGTTGCTTGCGTTTCAATATCGGTAACCGTTCTACATTAGTTTGCAAGGATTTTTATTTTGAAGACTGTCGTAAGAGTATGGGGGCAGGGACCGATGGACAAGGAAGCTTTTCAATGAAAGTAAAGGTCTTTCTTCAAGCAGCTCTATCCTGAGAGGTGTTTTGGTGCCTTTCCTTCAGCCTTAATGGCAGTTCTGATAGGCAAGAATTTGGGGGACATTTCCCTAATTTATTTCATAAGAGTTTTGTCTAGTTAAAAGATTTAGTCTGAGAAGATCTTTTTCAGCTCCTGGTAGAACAGAGAAAGGGAAATACTTCATTCTCTCAAAATCCCTAAGATTGATGTGATGTTAAGCATCGCCTTTAAAAAGATAAAGGTAACCAAATGAATTCTATTTTTTAATACATTTTTTCAGTCCTTTTAAGACTGAAGTTTCATATAAAATCAAATTACAAAGTTTAATGTGTTTATGATACTTCAGACTACATACATACTTTTATGAACATACACTTCGAAATTATCTTTTCCATCATAATTGTTTTTTTCAGCCTGGCCTCTTTTTTTTTTTTTTCCCCTTTCTTTTTTTCTGTTTTTCTTCCCCTCCTCTCCTATTTGTTTTTTTGTTTTTGTTTTTGTTTTTTGCCTGGCCTGTATTTAGTTAACAAAGTTAAAGTTGCTTCTTGTTGTGTTTGTTTGTTCTGGGTGCTTTTGGTTTTGTTTTTCAGTCCATAGGCCTAACATGAGTACAAGTTCTGTAGCTTGGTCCTTCAGAATCAAACCTACTAGAAAAAAATAAGACACTCACTATTAGTGTATTTTTGGTTTACTGACTGACGTACTAAAAAGCTTGTTTGGATACTGATCTTAAATTTAATCATGTGGTGATGTAGTTCACATGGAGGAGGGGAAAAGAAGGTGGCTAAAAAAGGCTAAGCTTCAGATTGTCCCTCTTTCAGTAACAACTTCTGTTTAAAGTCCTGTTAAAATTGTATCCTTCTGCGAAGATTTCTATCCATCCAAAAAAAAGGTCTCCATTTTTATGAATTGTGAAGTTTAGTTGTCAGAATTTAATTGCTCGTTTTAAAATCAGCCTACGTGATTGTGCATGAATATGTTTCACTGTTCTGCAAGCCTCTGTGCATAATCTTTTTTTGTTGTTGTTAAATTGTCTTTGGGGTAGACTGCATGACTAAAAATTTGCTATATCTTTCTAAAACAACTTTGTTGCATCTTTAATGCAAAAATCTTGTACTGTGTCTATTTAATATACGTACATTTAATACAATGTTTCAGGTGGTAATGGGAGATGCTAGCCAGTCTTTGTCAGACAGATTTGTGTAGCCACTTCTCTTTAAGTGCTTTTACAACTACGATGACTCATGTAAATCAGTAAAGTTCCAGAGTTTGAAAAGTGAAAAAAAAAAAAAAAGTATTATTTCCTTTAGAACTTTAAAACAGTATTTTAACATTTAGGACCTGAAGCAAAGTTATGGAAGATGCTTACATGAATTTTCAGGTCTCTGGTGTAATTTTTAAACAGTGCTCATCTAAATTACTCCTTATGCAGTACCATGCTATAGAATGAGGTTTGCCCATTTTTTTAATGCTTAAGTGATTTCCTAGTTACAAGGTGGTTGTTTTTGGTTTTTTTTTCTCCAGGAAAAAGATTCTTCTCAGAACAGCCCACAAGAGATAAAGAGAGAAGACCCGGAAGAAACAAATACAAATGTAGTGTCAGCGAAAGCATCTGTATCACTTGAACCTTGTACGCCAAAGAGAAACCCTGTAATTGCAGAAAACGTAGATGAAAAAGTAGATGTAGTTTGCTCAACTGCATTGAGTAAACCTTTACAAATTCAAAAACTGCAACTTCAAAATGGAGAAGACTTTCAGGCAGACGGTGTCGCTGTTGACAGTTCATCTAAGCAGCATATACATCAACCTAATCCTATTTTAATGGCAGCAGCAGTCCAGAGCATGGAAGCTACCAGTGTTCATACTTCTGCAGAGGATCCACTAGGTTGTACAGCTACAGTCTTGCAATTTACAAACCCTAACTACTTGAATTCATCTCTGAAACTGCAAAATGCTTTAGGTTCAATTACTGACTATGCAATTGAAAATCCTAACTCTCATGTTGTAGGCTGCTCTGTTGAAGTACAGCCAACAAGTGAAAATGCAGTTTTACTGAGTACAGTCACACAAACTATTGAACAGTTCAGTGGAAATGAAGAATCTGTCATTGCTATTATTGTGCCAGCCGAGAGTCCAGAAAAGCCTGAAATAGTAAATAGTTCTTTCCTGCCTATTAAGCAAGAGTTTCTTGACACAGAGGAGACAGAAACAGATAAATCTGTGTATATGAATGCATATAGTGGAAGTGACGTATTACAAACTGAGCATTCATACTGCAAACAAGACATAGACAGAGATCACCTTTGGCAAAAAATTTCAAAGCTCCACTCTAAGATAACTCTACTTGAAATGCAGGAGATAAAAACTTTGGGGAGACTCAGGTCCTTGGAAGCTCTTATTGGACAATTGAAGCAAGAAAACCTGCTTTCTGAAGAAAAGCTGAAGATTGTAGAAAACTGCTTTACAACACTTGAAGTGACTATGATACAGTAAAGGCTTTCGATCATTGTCCTAAAATATCTTTTAGCCTCTTTGACTGTCCTTTTGGACAAATTAACTTTTGTTTCAGTCATGGTATTTTAAACATCTAATGCAAATTGTGCGAATAGCAAATATTCTTTAAAATGTTACATCAACCACTACCAAAGCTAGGTGGTAGAATATTGCTTATAAAACATGACTTGCAAGTAAGCTTTAAAAAAAAATAAAACCTGTTAAAGTTTTTTTAAAAAGTATATGAATTGTATCAGTAAAGATAAGTTAAACCTTTCTAGCTGCAGGCTCCTCTGAAACATGCAACTCCTGCATTTGGGGCAGCGGTCGAATGGACAGAATAAGCATGTAGGATGGACAGTTATAAAACTGTTGTTTAAAAAAAAAAAAAAGTGTCCCAATTCTCTTTCAAATGAGTAATGAGGTATGTAATACACGTTGTCCAGTGAGGCCACAATTACTCTTTAATCGTCTGTTCATCTAACATTTGTTCTGATAGTTTTTTGTACACTTTGACCTTATTAAAATTGTTTCTGCAATAAAAGGTGTTTCCTTTCATTTAGTTCTAGAAACAAAAATTCTATAAGAATATTGTTACAGCGAACAGGTCCATCTCTTTTTTTGGATGATTCAGCTCAAATGGAAAGAACCATCTTAAATAGTGATGTTTTTGCTGGTTAGTAAAAGGGAAAGCTCTGACTATTCAGTGAGTGCTATCTGCTCAGCATTGATCCTCTTACGATCTATAGCTGGGTAATGCATATACCCTTAATAATACACTGAAGAAAACAGTGCTTTGCAGAGCATATTGCTAGTGAAAATAGCAGAATATGGCTCATTATTTTTCTATATCTTTCTTGCTCTTCAAGAAATGGAATTACAAGACTAGAAATCCACTCCCCTGTATTGATTTTATTGTTTCTAAGCGCACAGGATACCACTACAGTGGAAAGATACTGACAATTCATTTTGAGGGAAATTATTTGCTTAAATACTTTCTGCTTATTCTGTCTGCGTGCCACACCTTAGATCTAGAGTTCACTGTACGGTCTAGTACGGTGAACTAGTATTAGATCGTCTAGTCCCAACTGTACATCGCAGTTGGACTAGATGATCATTGTAGGTCCCTTCCAACTGAACTAGTCTAGTCCAGCCTATTCTACAATGATTAGATTATTTGATGGACTTGGATGTATTTTCCTTTATTCAAAAGTGTGTGACCACCATCAGTTCAGTCTAGGACTGAAGTAAATGGGTTCCTTTGCAGTCTGTTACTTGTATGCTCTATCAGACATGTTCTAAACTGGTAATCTTTTCATAAGGAATTGAGGATCAAGCAACACCAATTACAAGATAAGTTGCAAACTAGTCAAATTTCAGATAATTTTTGAGTCTCAGAGTAGCTGCCTGGAAGTTGGTCTGCTAAAGCACAGTGATCTAAGAGGTTAGTCTGTATCAGTAACCACTGTAGTAGGCTTGTTTTGTCCTTCAACTTGTTGACTTCTTTCAGGCTCTAAGCACAGGATGTGCATGGGAAAATTCCTGAAGAAGATAAACATAAGTTATAATATGATGTATTATTTACTGGGACTCTGTGACACACTCATTTCTTTCCCTCTTAGTAGAGAGTGCTGTCCCTGTAACAAAAGAACGTGCTGTTCTGCCTTGTGTGCTCTGAAGTCACAAGGGGTGTCCTGTGTCCTCTAGACACATTGCTGCTATACAGGGTCCAATCTTGTGAACGTTGTCCAGGTGGCCTCTCTGAACTGCATATTTTGTAATTTTTTATAAAGTAAGAGATCTTTCAAAGTTATTTACAAAATGCTATATGAAATTGCTAAATGATTTGGCAATTTTAGAGATTTCATGGATGTCGCTACAAATCCTCTGCTAACACTGTATATTTTAAGACTTACCACCCAGTTCAAAAGTCTGCTGTAGGTCTTCAATGGCAATGAGAGCTTAGACACGGCGAAAGAGTTACGACACTTTAAGCTGTTGTCTCAGCAAAGCTCTATTCCTGAAGAAAAGGTGGGGGGGTTTAACATGGTATTTACATTTCTGATATATTTTTGCCTTTACTAACACTTCCCAGTATTGAAATTGAGAACGTTATTTGTGGCGTAGATTTCTTTAAACCTGGGAAAAAACAAATGCTCAATTTTCCTTTTTTGTATGGAGTTTCTTGGGACTATAGCAGAAAAACTCAGTAACTTTACAGGCCTGTCACCAAGTCTATGAATTTCCCTGCTACAGGGTGACTTGGTCCAATGTGCCTAGGTGGACATAAGAGGCCTCTGCCTCTCTTCTTTACACGCGGCTTTTTGTGCCAAGTAGGTCATTATTAAGGCCTACAAGTAGCACTTCTCACCTGGGCCTATTACCTGACTGTTGCCTAAAGTAACACCTGCTCTCTTACCAAGCAGGATATTACAGCTGTTAAGCAAACATGTCTAACAATAGATGTTAAATAATATGACAATTTATTAACCTGGTGTTTTCAAGTAGAGCTTTACAACTTTAGGTTTAAGTTTACCAGTTTTCCTTAATTCTAAATTTGACATGTGGTTGCTCTCAGTGTGTCGGATCATAGTGTGTCCATCCCATCTTGGTGTGTCCATCCCACCTCGGTATGTCCATCCCATCCAGGTTCATGGTTTCTGCAGTGGCCAGCATCACCAACTTCAAAAAAAAAAAAGCCAGAGACTGCCTGAAAACAAGATGATTTTGTATGTAGCATTTCTCAGGACCAGTCTTGTAGCGATGAAGAGGTTGAAACTCCACAAAGCAGTTTGAAGGTAGACCAGAATCCATGCTGTGTTTTTGCAGGTGACTATTGCAAATTGATTCCAATAAATTATTTTGGGCAGAGAACTTCTGTATTCATTTTAAAATATTTAGTATTATAGCTGGCTATTGTTGCTTACAGGAAAATATGGCTAGGTCCTTTGCTTCAAAGGTACACTGACACGGAATTACTCAGGCTAATTATTACGAGGAAGGAAAAACACCGTGTTGGAAATCGCCACACCCCACTGAATTAGGTGCTGACATGTACGTGTTGTTTTCAGTGTTTCCTAATCATAAAGCTGTATAGCCTTTGCACGCAATTTTATTTCACTAAACTTTATGGACTCTTGAAGGTGCTCTGTTATTCCTTGAGATCCAATGGAAACTGCTTTGGTGCAGTTGCAGCTCAGCATCAAAGTAGTACACTGAATCATCATTCCTTCTGTAAGGTATCAGGCTTATCTTGATCAAAGTTAAATGTTCTTATTTATCTTCTCAATAATTTTGCATTTGCATCAACATTGTTTTTAAACTTTTGACTGCCTGTTTCCACTGATGGAATTAATTACTTCAACACTTTACAGATTTAACAGATGTGGACTCTTTTCTTAATTCACCTCTTGAAAAGCTGTATTTCTTTTCCACTGGCTACTGTAGGAATTTGGCATTTGGCTTTCTCCTAGATCTTCATTTAAATTCCACCAATTTTATTAAACTTATCTACAAGCAGTGTAGTTGCATCTGGAATAAACTGGTGCCCGTTTCCCCTGGTTCTCCATCTTCTTTACAAGGTGGAGTGTGAAGTTTTATTTAGCTCATTCCGAATGCAGTGCCAGCTACAAGGGATTTTTTTCTTTTTCCCGGACTCATAAGTGTCTGGGACTTCTGTACTTTCTTGCTTCAGTGGCACAAATACTGACTGCACTCTTGCATGCTTCACAAGCATTCATTAAAAGTCTGTCTAGATCTCTCATTAGATGTCTTTGATATCTTTTTACTCTCCTTTACCGCAGTGAAGTTGTAATTATTCTTCCTTTCCACTTAAACTCTCTCCTACTCTGAGACTTGGCTCCTGCATTAGAAAAACCAGCAGCAGATGTGGGCTCACTCAAAATGCCATCTTTGTAATAATTTATCTTCTCTGTCGTCTTCTGTTTTGCCCAAGCTAGTCTATGATGACGGGTGCTCTGGGCCAGTGCCATGGGGTCCAGCTGTGCCCACCTTGGCCATGGGGCAGTAACCCTCCTGTGAAGGGACCCCCCCACCTCACTGCTGGGTTCTAATGACACAGTTCATAAATTCATGCTAGGTGCTGTCTTCTCGTCAGTAAACTTGAAGCTACATGTTGCATTTTAAAATTACACTTCCCTCCATCTCCCAACTTCTGTAATAGATTGATTTCCTTCATACCTAACCACGCGTTGGTCCCAACTGCCTTGTGTACAACTTGATGCCTCCCCTCACTGGATAATGCTGCTTAACTGCAGGCTAATGTCATACATGCAAATCCGCACTCCTGCACTTCAGCCTGTACCCAGCGCTGCCTTAACAAAGCACGAGGCACAGCCTAGCCCAGCCCTTCCATGTCTCGGTGAGATGGTGTAACACCCAGGGACCCCATCACGTCGCCAGGTGAGGGCTCATGCCGGCAGGGGTGGTCTGCACGCTGTGGATTCCTACATCCATAATAAGTTAATTGTGTCAATGGCAGTGGTAGACTCTGCTTGGCAGGATTTATTTCTAAATAAGTTTTATTTCTAAATAAATTAGTTTTATTTCTAAACCCGTTGAGGTAAGTGCTGAAATTCCTTTACCCTTAGATGTTTTGAACTTCGTAATGACAGTAAGGCAATCAAACCCAGAGCCTGCTTTTGTGAGACATTGTGTCTGCCCAATGAGAGATACCAGGAAAGACCCACCTGCTTTCTGGGCAAACCCAGGAGACACTGTGAGCAGCAGGCTGACAATTTTTTAACCACCCAGGCAGAACTAGAAAAAGTCCACATCCAACCTCGAGGAAAGGCTTAAAACGTAGGTTAGCACTGAGTGACTTGGGCTGCTCCCCTTCCGTAAACTCCACAAGCAAGAAGCCTCGTGCCGTGTCGCAAGGCTGGAGGGGAGATGGCCCCTGCACACTGGGGCCTCGTGAGAGATGCTCAGGGTCGTGCATGAGGATGGGGAGGAAGGAGTGAGTTTTGGCATTTAGGGTTGTTGCCTGGATAAAGTGCCTTCCTGTTGGGGCATCTCTTTGCGCTGCCGAGGCAGCATCAGTTGCAGCAGGTGCTGCCCCTTCCTTGGGATCCCACATGCCAGGCACAGCTCAAAGCTACAGGGAAAACCCAGTAATGCACTGGAAATGCATGAATTACCAGCACCAAGGCAAGAGGGAAGAAAAACAGAGCAAGAGAAAAGGACAAATTATATAAAGGGACTTAGTTTTGGACAAAAAATATTTTTTTCTTTCCTCATTTACCAAAGAATTTTATGACTTACTAAGGCAAGCTGATGTACATTTCTGCAACCTCAAGTGGATCACTGCTTTATTTTCTCCTTCACTGAAATCAGTGTAACGGCTTTCTAATTTACCAGACCATTTACTGCTGCAGAAGATGTTTCTGCCTAACTATTTTCCACAAATAAAACAATAAGAATAAGACCTCTAAACAGGCTTTTTCCAGTAAATATACCTCTTGGCATGATTAAATACTATGGAGTACATTGCAGAAAGTCTATCACTGTTTAAATATCTGCCTTTCCTGCAAATGACACTTAGAACGGCATTTCTGAAACATAAAAGCAATTTAGAAGCCTATGTCTCATCCATTCAAAAAGGTTAAACTGTATAGATGCTTTTGGAATATATACATATGTATGAAATATTACATATTGCATATCTATAAAACAGCAGTGCTCCCTATAAACAGCAGGTGGTGCTACCGGATCGCTCTGTAGAAGTCAGACTAAAGCCCTACATTTTATTTTTATTCTGTTGTTGAAACATATGCAACCAGATTAACTATGCAGGGTCTTTTTTTTTTTTCCTTATATCTCAAATGTATCTTTAATAAAGAAGGATAGTATCTGAACAAAACAGTATGACTGTCTTCAATCTCACAGAAATAAAGCTTCAGACAAGAAAAAACTCATTTATATTCTGAGCATAAAACGTGAAATTCGAGAGCCTTCTGCTCAAGTGAGTGGCAAAAGAAGATGCATCCACTGTCCGTATGTGGAGCGTGATTGCATTCCTCATTTGTCGAAGTGGGTCAGTGATTAAAGTTTGAATCCCATAAACAGTTTAACATTGCTTATATGCATATTTGTCAGGGTAATAGTGTGAGTGTTTAATCACACCCTGCATCAAGGGTGTCTGGTTTGCTACTCAAGTACTGCAGCCGTGGTTTTGAAACGGGGAAGATAAGTGCACAACAGCTTCATGCGTGGCACAATCCCCTCTTAAAATGTCGCAGGACAGACTTTGAGAATACACAACTTCAGATGGTACGAACAACATTGCAACAGGGGAATGCTGGTCCTGTGCATTCAAGCAAGTTTCTTCTTGCTTGTTCCGGTGTTACTTTCAAAATACAATAGATAATAGGGCGTTACAGTACAGGTTAGAAGTATCCATGTGATTTTCTGAATGAATGGAACAGGGCTGCGAAACAGTGGCATGGCAAAACCAGATGGTGAAGAGGGCCATGTCAAGGTAAACGCTGGTTTCAGAGGCATAAATTAGCCTCATGGCTGGTGTGGCCAGGCATTGCAGTTTCTCTGGGTACACAGAAAGTTGTGTTCAGCATGTTGTTCACGGATCAAATCCAGCCACTCCACCACAGCCTCCTGAAAGAAGTCATCTCACCTGATTCTGGATGTCTCCATCATGAGGTGCACCTCAGTTAAGTGATATTTGGTGTAAAGAAGAAGAAATGAACCGAGGAAATCCCTATTTATCTACTGACTATGGCCAGGGGGATGTTCTAGACAAATATTTCAGATTTAGATATGTATGTTATAAAAACCCAAAGTTACCTAAACTGAATCTCACCTGTTTCAAAAGGTAAATCACTTCTAGTTCTCAGACAGGGACAAGTTAGGAAGACTAAACGCTAATATAAAGGAGCTTGGCACAGTAGTCCTTCCAAACTGTGCCTTAATTTCCTGTACAGCCAGTGACAAGAAGAAGATCTTTCAAAGCTTCTAGAGGGGATTCTGCTCAGATATTTCATTTATGTAGTCAGAGCCCTTTTTTCTGAAGATTTTGAAAGACACTTCTGTCTCTGTAAGAAACTTGGACAAGTAGGAAAACTGATTCACCAGGTGCCTGCCTTAGGCAGAGTACATCCGAGGCACAATCCTGGGTGCTGCAGAACATCCTCACAAGGTGCACATCAGACATAAGAGCTCTGCACTGCTTCATGAAGAGCATAAATTGGCAGCAGTCAGACACATTTGCCCTCTTATAGCCCCTATATAACCTTGTGGCTGCTATAGCTTCCCTCTGGAGTGGTAGCTAGCACCACAAAGAGGTCTTTTTCAGCCATGTCTGCTTGGGTAAGCTCATCACAGATTATAAATACCAGCAGTCTGACCTCCGGTCTGAGTCAATAGACTATGAGGCCACATAAGAACAGGCTTCAGGAGCCCTCAATGACCAGAATAGCTACTGTTTGGAAATGGGGGATAATAAAGACATGAGAGAGAGAGAGTTTCACAGCATGCAAAATACATCAAGCCCTTTAGATCTTACACTTAGCAGCAGATATTACTAAACTTACGTCAAAGCTCTTTTTTCAGTGTTTTATGTGGTGAGAAATCCTGTACCATGTAAAGCTGGCTTTGGCTAGAGGGCAGCTATGGAGCAATGA